AGAACAGAGCTCCAGAATGAATTAAGTTCTTAACCTGAGGTACCACTGTACAAGGGTCATCTGCTGCAACCCTCTGCAACGCAGGAATCTTTTGCCCAGCATGGGGCTCGAACCCATGAGTCTCATGTTCTACCAGCTGAGCTATCCCAGAAGAGAACTTCTGGATCAGGCCAATGGCCCATCAACTTCAGCATCCTGTTCTCACAGGGACCAACCAGATGCCTGTGGAGAAGCCCACAAGCAAGACATGACTGTAACAGCACTCCCTCCGCTGTTAAATAAGAGAGAGGCTCTTTACACATCTCTTATTTAAATATACCCAGATGTTGCTGGACTCATAAGTCCTATCAGACTCAGCCAGGACAGCCAACCATCAGAGATGATGGGAGAGGTAGCCCAGGAACATTTGTAGGGCCACGGGTTCACCAGCTCTGATGTAACTGCTCCATGTCCCACTATCATCTTGGTGAGAATGTCGGGGCAAGGATTTCTCAGTGGTGGCACCTTCACTCTGAAGTGCTCTCCCTCAAGAAGCCCGTCCATCCCCCTTTCCAACACACCTTCAGAAATGCCGTCAAAGCTTTTATTTTAAATATGCTTTCTGAAATGGTTTGATCCTCAGAGTAACTGCCTTATGATGATGCTGTTATGGTGTCTCGGTTATTTTTTAAGTTGATGTTGATGTTGTTGTTTATTAAATTTATATACCACCCTTTATCGAAAGGTCTCAGTACAACATTAGAAGAAACACATTACGAGACATCAATCAATAGTTGATAGTTTTATTTTGGTTCTTCGTGTTTAAATAATGCTTTCTGAGCTAGTTTTTTTGGGGGGGAGGGGTGGCTTTTGTGAGCCTGAAATGTTGCAAATTAATCAATTAATTATAAAATAACCAGGCTATGGGTTGGGAAGTACTTAGGTAGTACCCAATGTACCAAACTTCTTTTCTATTTTAAATGATCGATATGCATTTTTCTTATTTCCTGGAAAACTGTGTCTTGGGTTGCATTGTCAAAAATCGAAGTGTAATGCAGCTTTTGGTACTGGTTTGCTTTTACTTTATTTCTGAGGCAATTTTTTACACGTAGCACAATTCTGTAAGAACTGAGAATTGCTTTCTCCATGGAGGGCTTGATCTTAAACAAACAAACAAACAAACTCTGTTGTATACCCAGGCCCAGACCTATTGGCAATCTCATCAACAAAGCTGCAAACCGATGATCACTAGGACAGCAAGCTTCAGTAAAGGCTTAATAGCAGAATATAGTTGAACCCCACTTTTAATCAAGTGAGGGATACAACTGGTTCCCAACCAGTCTCTGGCCATGCTCGGTTGCTGTGGCTGCTGCAGGTGTGTGCCTGGGGACATGAGGACATGACATTAATGTTCCAGTACAACAAATCCATCCCTGCATCCACAGATCGTTGTTTAACAAGCTGCTTTAGACTTCTGAGTCTCTCTCATGGGATTCCTTCACAGCAGTGGAGCAGCGTAATCCACTGCTTATGTTGTCTCTTCTGTGCTTTCTTTATTAAGTGAAAATGCCTCGTAGGCACTGAGTTGAGATGTCGCTAACACCACAGGATGCACCTTTAATTAATGTGTGGCCGTATTCACAATTTTTGAAAAGCAGTCTGTTTCCCCTCAGTTCTGTCTGCATACTTCAGGGTTTTCCTTTCTTTCTTTTTTGATTTTTGTTGTTGTTGCTGTTGGTAATGTTTGTATGGTTGCAAGAACTCTGGTTCAGTAAAGAGCGACTGAGGGAAGTGCCTTGTCAGTGGTGGCACCCTGGTTGTGGAATGGTCTGCCCAGGGAGGCTTACCTGCCATCTCCCCTGATGCCATTTTGACACCATGCAAAGGCCTTTTATAATTTTCTCAGGCCTTTTACCTCAGTTGTGTTTTATCACGACTTGGTTTATTGTTGCTTGATGCTGTTCCATGTTCTTTTATTGTTTTAGTATTTATTTATTTTTGCGTGTTTTATATTTGTGTGTGTTTTTTTTATACCTTTTGTAATGCAAGAACACACACTAAAATAGTGAGTAGTGATTCCTTTATGGAAGGTTGTATAAATTCTGTTATCTTGCACTGTGCAGTAAATGTTATTCATGTGTTTTGTAAGCTGCTTTGGCAATTTTATTGAAGGACAGTGTATAAACCCCTCAATATATATTGGGAATAATAATAATAATAATAATAATAATAATAATAATAATAATGTTTTATTATTTATACCCCGCCCATCTGGCTGGGTGGCTTCCAACAAAATATTTAAATACAGTAATGCATCAAACATTTAAAGCTTCCCTAAACAGGGTGGTTCCGAAAAAGAATTGGGATTTTTGAACAAAGCAGAATTTCTGAATTCCTTTATTCTTCAAATACATGCTCAAAACATAACGTTGCTCATGTAAGCTCCCATTTTCAGCATGTTACATCAGCAAACGACACTTAACAATTTATATTTACATAACTGCACTGTATTTTTCCTGCATTCATCATCTCATTTCTTCCCTCATTTCTGATCAGGCAGGGGAAAAAGACTGTAGCACAAACCCAGAGGCGTAGGAAGGGGGGTGCGGCCTGCCCCGGGTGTCATGACTGAGGGGGGGTGTGACAAAATGGCAGGCAAGTGGGTGGCACACCTCGCATCCGGTGGTGGCAGCTCTTCTGACCCAGCAGCAGAGAGCAGCCCTCCTCAGCCATGGTGAGGCAAACCTCACCGCAGGAGCTCTGTTGCCGGGTAATGTCTGACCTGGCTGCAGAGAGTAGAGGAGAGTGAGCAGCAGCTTCCCTGCCCCTCTCCTACCCTGAAATGTGGCACGTGGGAGGGCACCCTCTGTGCCCCACCCCCCTCAGGATAGTCCCCGCACTGGCCAGCGCAGGCATATGCTTCACTGCTGCACAAACCATCCAGACAAGAAGAAGAAGAGTTTGGATTTGATATCCTGCTTTATCACTACCCTAAGGAGTCTCAAAGTGGCTAACAATCTCCTTTCCCTTCCTTCCCCACAACAAACACTCTGAGAGGTGAGTGGGGCTGAGAGACTTCAGAGAAGTGTGACTAGCCCAAGGTCACCCAGCAGCTGCATGTGGAGGAGCGGGGAATCGAACCCGGTTCCCCAGAGTACAAGACTACCGCTCTTAACCACTACACCACACTGGCTCCACACAAGCTTTGCCAGAGCTGCTAATGAGTCCTGGATTGAGCCTTAACGATAAACTGTCTGGTTCAGTGTGATGCGACTTATCAGAGCTGCATTTAGCCACCTGAGGTTTGAGAAAAGTCGAGAAAAGGCAATTAAATAGTTCCCAAAACCCTCTTTGAAGTTGCTAGCAAGCAGTAGCTTTTTCTTCACTGCTGACTGCACGATTTAATTGAAAGGGAATAAATTGATGAATGATGGGGAGCATTGGAAAAAGGGGCACCCACCTCTGGCTTCCTGGTTTGCACCTATAGACATGGTTAGGATTGAACTTCCAGTTGGACTAGTTGTCTCCAGAATCCTTGTAGCTTGTGGTTCTTGGGCATGGGATTGCCACTTTTCCCAACCGGCTGCTGTTTCTATACTGGCTACTTGACCTGCAGCCACTAGCACCTTATAAAATGAGCTCCTCCACACTGTGAAAAACTTCACCTGCCAATTTCTGAACAATCTCAAGCTCTTTCAAAACACATAGCTCCAGATGCTGGTTGAAAAACTGGCAATGTTAGTCAGATGCATGCAATCATTCTTTCTGAGTCCACCTCCCCAAAAGACCCCTTTCTCTGTAAGCACTTTTATGCACACCAAATGCTGAGGGTTTGTTGTTATTTTTATTCAGTAGACCCCAGCTTGACTTCAAGAAGCTGTTAAACCTTTGCAAAGGAAAGAAAAAGAGCTTAGCTGAGTTTCATCGTCTTTCTACTCATCACAGAACCATAGGCGATGGTTTGGGTTGGGACGATGCAGCGACAGCATAATAGTTACAAAGACAATGAGGGAATTTTGCCAGGAACAATTCTTCAAAGTCGTTCAGGACTGTGACAAAACAAACGGCATCTGTTGAAGCATTTGGGGTCTTGTACCTTTTGACTGTTCAAGGTACAACAGCCCTAATGCTGGCAAATTATCCATCCCTTCTACGCAGAAGTGGCAACATTCTTTTATTAGTTTATGCAGCAAAGAGCAGGATTGCCCCACATTTTGTGGTCAGAAGCTCTGCAGCAGCCGTGTCAAAGGGAGAAACCAAGAGGCTGAGATTTCCCCATAACTGCATCCCCACCACTGTTGAGATTCAGGAGCAGCCTCCAGTGGTCACCTGACTGAATGACTCCTAAGACTCTGAAGTTGAAGCCTGCTGCCATTCACCTTCTTCAGTGAGTGACGCCAGGAATTACTGACAGGTCCTTAATGCCTTTCCTTACTCCATCCTTGGGCAAGCTGTGATCCTTCCTTATGTTCACCCAAGTCTTTCTTGGCACTTTTCCAGACAATGGGCATTGTATGAGGTGTTACAATGCAGGAGATAGGACATTATTTGTTTGTGGTTCATACTGCCATGGACACAGAAAATGAATCTCCACCTGCTTGACTCTTTGCTTAATAATTGGTTATGGCCAGTGTATTTTTTTATGCTGGTTATCCTGCGTTAGACAGAAGTTACTCAGCTCCATTGAAGGCAGGAAGTTGTTGTGCTTTCATACTATTTGCATACCCTTGTCCATTTGCTGTTCAACTGATCGTTTTGGCTTCATCATCATGCCTTCTTCTGACTCATCCCTAGGTTTCTTGCAAACTGGGGTGGTTGCTTTTGCATACTTTGCAGTTACTGGCAATCTCTCACCAAGCTTCACCTACACAGAAAGTTCACCTACACTGAAAGCATCCATCACCTCCTCAGCTTGCCTAATGACAGTACCAGCCCCAATCAGTCCACCTGCCCACCATCCCTTGCAGCATTGTGAAGGAAAAGCTTTTCGTAGTCTCGTAGCTGGAGGACTACCGGAGTCCTCAGTGAACGGCAACCGTCACAGGCAACGAGTGTGGAGAAAAGTCCTCCAGAAACTGAGTCTGCTGTGTGGATTCTGGGGCAAGCTTCAGGCACATGCTGGCTTCTGTTGTGCTGTTGTTGTTGTTGTTGACCCGGAACTGTTCCTTGGCCGGACGAATGGCCACCATGAATTGGCGCTTGAAGGTCTCGCTCAGGGCAATGTAGAGGAAGGGATTGAGGCAACTGTTGGCATAGCCCAAGCTGATGGCAAAGTTGTAGGCATAGAAGAAGGCCACGGAAGGGGTGTCTATGCCGAGATGCACTAGCTGAAGGATGTAGAAGGGTGCCCAGCAAATGAAGAAGGCAGAGCAGATGGCAACTGCCATTCGGGTGACCTTCTTGGTACGTACCCGGAGGCTCCTCTGGGGCAAGGGCACCACAGTGGTAGCCATATGCTGGAGGATCTTAAAGTAGACCACACAGATGATGAACAGTGGGATGGCAAAAGCGAGCATGAACTGGTAGATGGTAAACCAGTAAATATCAGTCTCAGGGTTGGGAAGCAAAAGGGCACAGCGGGCACTCCCATCCTCCAAAGGCATCAGCCCCGCGTACATCCACACTGGGATGATAGTCAGGAGAGAGAGGAGCCACACCAGGCCAATCACTAAGGCTGCCACACACGGCGTCCGGACGTAAGTGGACTTCAGAGGATAGACGGTGGCCAGGTAACGGTCCAAGGTCATGACTGTCAGGATGTTGGTGCTGGTGATCTGGCTGTTGGTGTCTAGAGCAGTGATGATGGTGCATAAAGGAGCTCCAAAATACCAGGCCCCGTTGCCAAGGAGTTGGTGGATGAGGAAAGGCATGCCCAGCAGGAAAAGCAGGTCCACAATGGAGAGGTTGAAGATGAAGATGTCGGGCACTGTCTGTTTGCACCTCAGCTTCTTCTTCTTGATAATGGTGTAGATCACAATGAGGTTCCCGACGATGCCGAGGAAGCAAATGATGCCGAACAAACTCGGCATGATCACATTGGTGTAGGGAGTCGGTCTTTCCACCACTACCAAAAACAAACCAGAGAGAGAGAGAGAGAGAGAATAGTGAGTGTCCTTGCACTTTATAGCCCTCTGAGGCTATATTTGTTCGGACAGCCAGCATTCAGTTTCCCAACAGGAAGGGCCAATTTGTGAGCACCATACATTTAAGACCTTAGTTACACGTGTCAGAACAGAAGAGCAGACCCACTTCATCAGACTACAAGTTAATCTAGTCTGCCATCTTGTTTCCCACAACCAGATACCTTTTGGGACGTCCGCAAGCAGGGCGTGAGGGCAATAGTCTCTTCACATTGTTGTCCCCCATGTCACATAATGTGAAGCTAGCTTGTTAACTCCACGTGACTTCTAAAAATATCGCTGCTCAGTATCTGCACTGTCAAGGACGGCAGGGCTTTGGCACCTAATGTTTCCAAATCGCCTCAGCTCTATTCATGACTCAGGTGGCCGGATGCAAAGGAGGAAGCACTCCTAGAGCATTACTAGTTGTGAAGAGGCAATTGCAAATGAGGGCAGTTTACGATCTCTTCCCTCCCTCTCCTCCACCAAATCTGTCATGAAAAGACAGCTCTACACATCTATGGAAGGAGCAGGAAGACAGGGAACTCTCTTACACCAAGTCAGACCATTGGTCTATTTTGCTCAATGTTGTCTACTCTAAACTGATGGGCAGCAGCTCTCCAGGATTTCAGACAAGCCATACCTAGAGATGTCGGGAATTGGACCTGGGACCTCAGATGCTCTACCAGCGGGCTACAACTCTGCCATCCTTTCCACATGATCTGGTCATTCACTGAAAATGGAAGCTGTGGTGAGCACCAATGGGATAGAGAGTGGACAGTGATGGGGAACCTGCTGCCTTCCAGATGTTGCTGGACTACAACTGCCATCATCCCAAACCATTGGCCAATGTGGTATAATGGTCAGAGTGTTGTGCTAGGACCTGGGAGATCAGGATTGGAATCCCCACTCACTCATGAAGCCAGTCACTTCCTCTGAGCCTAACCTACCTCACAGGTAGGGTGGAGGAGCCATTATACCACTTTGAGCTCCTTCGAGAAGAAAGTGAGTTATAGATGCAACAATAAGATGATAAGATAAGATGATAAGATTGGCCATGGTTGCTGATAGAAGCTGGGGATCCAACAATATCAGGAGAGTCGCAGGTTCCCCATCCCTGGCGTAGAAGAATATGCTCAAGCAGCCAATTTTATGCAAATAACTGTTGTCAAGGGAGCAGAATCTAGCCTGCAATGGGTACAATGGTGCTTAGGTGACTTCCCTGCCAGGGACTTTGCCAGGAACCTCATTGTGTAGACCTTTCCTTCTTTAGATACCACACAACATGGAATTTACAGATCCAGTCTTTCTCTTCCTGTTTGCCCACTTTTCCACCCTAACAGGGCTCCTGTGTTTTTAACAGTTTCATGATAAACAGAAATTTGATTAGGTTAAGCTTTCCCCGGCATGGAGATGCAGCGATGGGGAAAGCATTGCCTGCTGATTTTCTTCCAGTCGCACCCGTTGTCAAAGTCGCAGAAGCTGGAGAGAGAGAGGAAGTTGGCAATTCTAATAGCCTGTTGCCCGCCTGCCTTGTGTCAAAGCAGGAAAACCTGAGCGTTTGCTGAAGATTAAGACACTCTGCAAAAGGAAAAAAAGGGGGGAAAGAGCTCTGTGTTTTATCACTTCTTGGTTTTAAGATGAAGGGGACCAGACAGAGTGTATCTGAGTGACAGACAGGTATTAATTTTTGAATGGATATTTCAAGCTATCCAGATGTTTATATGATGAGTCATCCATCCAAAATGAAACAGTACACCCCCACTTCCCCTTGTAGGCATTTCCCTCCCTTGTCAAATTCAAGGCATAAACAAAAGACAAACATTGGCACAGTTCATTTCTAGGAGGCTTAATTGCCTTCTCAGACTTAATGGGGCCGCATTTCAGTTGTGCGTGAACTGCAGTCACTCTTTCCCAGCTAGTTATTAATCCAGGGGAAGTGCCCCAGGGCTCATTACTGCAGTTTGATGGTATGATTAACTCTCCAGTCATACCCAACACTGTTTCCTAGCTTTCTTATTGCCTGAAGTCAGGAGGGATTAATTCACAGCCACCTTTTTGTACTCGACCCACCCATATTCAATCACCTTCTCACCTACTGGGTGACAGCATAGTTCTGTGGCTCCCCTACCTTGTTTTCCATGAATACCAGAGATTATTGGGAACAGTTCATCAGCTGGAAACCTGAACAACTTCAGGAACACAGCACAAACTGTGCAATATTTGGTCCCAGTCTGGAAGCCCTCGAAATGGAGACTAAGGAAGCAGAGAGATGTTCAAACCTCAGCCGTTCATTTAAGATCTTTCTGCCTGAAGAGCCTGGATTTGCAAAGCAGGTCCAGCTGGAGATATTTTGCAGACACTGAGCAGCAAATACTTTCATCCTTCCCCAATTCAAGGCACTCAGTGCTCAAGGCCAGACAAGTTCTTGAGGTTTTCTTTTCTAAGCATTGTGCGAGCTTTGTGAAAGAGACATTCTTATACCCATCCTTGCCAAAAAAGAAGACGACTGTCTGGGGGCCACCTATTTAAAATTACACAATAGGAATTCATGCTCCAAGAACTCCTTAAACCTCCCTGACCTGCTCATTGGGACAGGCGCTTCTGTAAGGGAACCTTATCTTGCTTCCAGTGCAATAAATGGAAAGAAACCCACAAATGTGAGATGCAGTTCATAGACTCATCCATGTGCAACTTCTCCTGAGAAAACCTGGATCAACTGAAATTCACTCTTCTACATGAGTCAATACATTACAGAGCTTTGGATGTGAGAAATCTGTTTTAAGATAAATCAGAGACATTAGACCTCTGAATCCTGGTTTGCGGGGAACAGCAGAAGAGGACTGTTGCCCTCATGTCATCTTGTGGGTTTTCCAGAAGCCTCTGGTTTCAACAACTGCTAACTTTCTGAATGTGAAGCACTTCTTGAAGGTACAGGAGCCCTTCCAGGGAACAAGCTGCCAAACTTCTGCACTGCTCATGTGTGACAGCTTGATGCAAAAGACACAGAGAGGGCCTTGGGTTTTGTACCCGTGACTCTCATCAGATGACACAAGGCAAGGTACATAGTCACTGTAGCTAGTCACCTCATCTTCCCACAGTGCCATCTGGCGTGCAGAGAGAGTGTTTAGCCCAAAGGCTGGTGGAGCTGGGCACAGAGTCAAGAGACAGCAGAGGAAACAGCAGCCACATGGTATAAGAAAATATAGAAACCATACAAAGGAGAAATGGCATCAGTTTCACGCATAACATTTCCACTGTTTACCAGGTCTTGGAAGGAACAGTGCATTGTTATTTGTTTGGGTATAAATCTGCTTTGGTAGAGATCATATTCTGGGGAGGTTTCCTTTAATGTGTTTAACACAGTTTAAGCATGAATTAAAATATATAGCATTTGAAAAGAAATGTTGTGGTTAGGGGGCTTCTCCCGAGTAGCAGTGGAGGCATAAGGACAAGGGAGGCACTGTCCCACCAAGATCAGTGTGTCTTCAGTCAGCCCTGAAGACCTATCACTGGTTCTGGCTCCATCTCCTGTTGACCTCCCTTCCTTCTGCCCCACCAGTCCTGAGGACCACCATCCTCCACTGGTGTGTCTGTATATGAAGCTTGACCAGTACCATAGCTTGGGTGGCCAGGGTGTGTGTGTGTGTGTGGCCCTGGGCACAGAATCTTGGGGGGCATGAACCAGGTGCCCCATGCATGCACCCAGTGCACGAGTCCCCTGTGTGAGCACAGAGGGTGTTCTTTACCCTCTGCACCCCACCCCACTCCCACCCACCACCCCATGCATGGGATGAGGCACACTTGGGGGTCAGAGGTCCTTGTGGATGACAGCACTACACCCTTAAGTTCGGCCATTCTTCTGCCACACTCAGTCACTTCCATTGATGGGGCAGGAACGTCTTTACTCCAATCAGTGAGAAGCTGCTTTGCGAAACTGGGCACCAGACTAGCATTTTATAATGAAGTCCAGGTTACATGTGCATTTTTGATAATGTAGCCTGAACACGGATTAGAAACCCAGTGCTGGAAATGCAATGAGTGCACAGCAACCAGGAGTGTGAACAGAGTCTAAGATTTCTTTCTTTTTCCTCAAGTGCCAGCCCTAATTTTTAATTGAATTCAACATGGCATATATGGTTTCTCTTCCAACTCCAAGGTTGGCCTAAGGCATTTTGCTGCCTGTGAAGGAAAGATTCCCACTTTTGCCAACACTCTACCCCAAGTCAAGCAGATTGGCCATTGAATTTTACTTCAACTATGGCAGCAAGACAGTATCAGCTTCAGTATCTGAATACCAGCAGGCTTGCTTAGGCAGTCCAAGTGGTGCCCTGGTCTAAGGTGTGCACACCACTGCTAATCTCTTCTCCTGCCAAATCCACACACACCATTTTACCCTGTTATTGCTATCAAGTACCATACATAATCCGTAGCATGAAGCTAAGGATGTTTACTCAGAAGTCAAGTGAAAGTAGGACTTACCATCCAATCTTAAGCAAGCTCAGAAGTTAGTGTGGTGGTTTCAGTGGGACTTGTTTCCTGGTGAATACAACCTCACCCCCTAGTAAATATATATCAGATTGCAACCTTTTGCACTCAGCTTACCTATCTTTAAATCAGACACAATATTCAATCCCCCCCACTACAGATAAGATAAGTCACTGGTGCCTTGAGTATTTGTTGTCAGCACCAGAGTTAGCAGCAGCAGGAGTAGAAAACTGCATGGGTTTTTAAAACATCATAAACATCTTAAAGCATTATTGAGATTAACATGTGTGAGTCATTCAATTCCTAAACCACTCATTTTTAAAAAAACATTTTAAAAATTCATTTTAATGTGAGCTCCTCCACGAAGTGAAAGGGCTTATGGGTTTGCTGTTTTGTTGCAGATAGTTTATGCACATATCTGGATCAGTCAGTATGCTTGAGATTTCTTTTGTGAGCAGTAAATGAATGGTCTGTGTTGTACAGTCAAAACAAATTACTTTCAATTGAATGACCTCAGAAGCATTACCTGCTGCATCTTAAAAGAGCCTATTGAAAGCAAGCCGGCAAATGGATTAGGAGCCTTTATTATTAGGCTGAAAACCTTGCTAATTTTTTCTTAATATGAAACATAGAGGATGGCGTCTACAGTGGAAAGGTTTGGGGGTTGTTTGAAGGGAGTAATCCAGGACATGAATGCTTTTCATTAAGACTGTTTCCTGTTAGTCTGCAAGGAGCTGTTATTGCTCTCCATGTGTTCAGCAGAGACACAAACCCTCGGAAGCCGTAAAAAGAGGTGGCACTCCATGCCCCCCTCCCACTTTATTCCATTCACACCAGGGGTAGCCTATGTGGTGCCCTCCACATGTTGTTGGATTAAGCATCCCTTCGGCCCCAGCCTATGCTGCCCAGCCATTTCCCATTAACTTAGAAAAGGGAATGTTGCCTACATCAGGGGCAGCTAACCTCTGCCACCCCCAGATGTTGCTAAACTACAACTCTCCTCAGCATGGCCAATAGTGATGGGAGTTGAGGTCCAACCACATCTGGGTGATCTCCACCCCCATCCTCCTTTGAGGCACTTCTGCAGGGGCAAATACTGCGCCCTCGGGAACAAAAAGACCAGGAAGCACACCGAGGGAGTTGTCCGCCGCCTCTGGTGCTGAAGCGAAGCCATTTCCCCAACCTGTTGCACTTTCTAAAGTACTGTAGGGGTGAAGCGAGGCAGGAGTGGGCGGCTCAGGCAGCACAGACATCATTCCTAAAAGCGAGGCTCTAAACCCCACGATCCGTTCTGTAAGGCAAGCTTTGATAGTGACTCGCTTCCATTTTTATTTATCTGTTTTGCCTTAAAAAAAAAGCGCGCACCCATCATTACCAAAGCCACTAAATGGGAAAGAACCGGAGAGCAGCGAGATGCTGGATTTGGACAGCTTTTGAACAGGCAAGAGAACCAATTTGGTTTTTGCTACCTGTCCCTGCAACAAGAAGGGGAAAAACCTTTCTCAAGAAAAGTTATCCAGCTTGAAGCCTCCACCATCCTTGACTTACTTGATCTGTTCCTGGCGGGGAAGTCAGAAGAATTCATTGGGAAGGAGGCTCCGGAGCAGTTCTCCACGGCCATTTCTTCCCCCAAGAGGACACCCCAACACCTGCCCGCCTCGCTGATGGCCTTTGCTGGTGTTTTTTCAAGCCTCCAACATCGCCCTCTGACCACTTTGAGCCACGGCTCAGCGGAGCCACCTGGGCGTCTGGCCACTTCCTTCTGCAGAGCGAGCTCGCTTTTGGGGGGCGAAGTAACTTGGGAGAAGTTGGGGGGAGGTGGAAATCGACGAGCCGATCTTCCGATCGCACAGAAATCTGCGGGCGACTTGTCTGGATGCTTGCAGAGCCGGAGATGGTCTGCGCGCCTGCCGATCGGAGCGGAGCCTGCGTTTTAAGAAGTCAAGCCGGAGCCTGCGTTTAGGAGGCGGGCGCACGTGTGTGCGTGTGTATGTTGGGGGCGGCATCTGGTTGCCTCCGCAGAGGCTGAATCGCGGGCTGCAGCCGGCAGGGAAGAAGCCAGATTCTCTCTCTCTCGCGCGCGCGCGCGCGCACACACACACACACACACAGAGAGAGAGAGAGAGAGAGAGAGAGAGAGAGAGAGGATCCTTAAGCGCTTTCTAAGGTACCCGGTCTAGCGATGCTGCCTCCCTCGATCTGATGACTGACATCAACTGACAGCTGACTGCATCCGACGCGCCAATGGGGCTGGGGGGAAGGCAGCGGGTGGACGCAAAGGGGGTGGGGGTTCAGCTGGGAGGGGAATGTGTCCTGAATTATTATTATTATTATTATTATTATTATTATTACCCCGCCCATCTGGCAGGACTTCCCCAGCCACTCTGGGCGGCTTCCAAAAAAATATTAAAATACTGTAATACATCAAACATTAAAAGCTTCCCTAAACAGGGCTGCCTTCAGATGTCTTCTGAATGTATGGTAGTTGTTGTTCTTTTTGACATCTGGTGGGAGGGCGTCCCACAGGGAGGGCACCACTACCGAGAAGGCCCTCTGCGTGGTTCCCTGTAACCTGACTTCTCGCAGTGAGGGAACCGCCAGAAGGCCCTCGGTGCTGGACCTCAGTGTCCGGGTAGAACGATGGGGGTGGAGATGCTCCTTCAGATATACTGGACCGAGGCCATTTAGGGCTTTAAAGGTCAGCACGAACACTTTGAATTGTGCTCAGAAACGTACTGGGAGCCAATGTAGGTCTTTCAAGACCGGCGTTATGTGGTCTCAGCGGCCGCTCACCAGTCTAGCTGCTGCATTCTGGATTAGTTGCAGTTTCCGGGTCACCTTCAAAGGTAGCCCTCACGTAGAGCGCATTGCAGTAGTCCAAGCGGGAGATAACCAGAGCATGCACCACTCTGGTGAGGCAGTTTGCAGGCAGATAGGGTCTCAGCCTGCATACCAGATGGAGCTGGAATAGTAATGGAAAAGGCAGAAGCTGGACTCAGGGAGGTCCAAGTGGATCTTCAGGTTACCTTCCCCGTAGATGTCAAAAAGGGCTCCCCTTCCGGTTGGGTCTCCATAGGCTTGCTTTCCCACGGAGCTTCTCTTAAGGATCCAATCATCAGCGCTCACCTATAGCAGGTCCACCCTTCCAAGACGCTTCTGGCAGATCAGCTGGCCATGGTGTTTCTGTAACAGCTAAGCCGGACGCCTTCATCTGCCTCAGCTGCAATAAAACATCTCTCTCCCCTATGGGTTTCTACAGCCGCAGCAGGCGCTGTAACTCTCCACCCGTTTGACTTTACCCCTAACTCTCCCATTGTGTCTGGAGGTAGACAAATGTCAACCATTGTCCCTCATGGCGATGAGTATGGGTGAGCAGGCAGCCTAAGGCCTAAGCGGGAGTGTCGCCTTCAAATCTCACCTAGTCACCAAACAAGTTGGGGTGGCTTTGGGCAAGTGGCTATTCTAGTTCAGCCCCAACACCCTCATCTGCAATATGGGAGAATGAGGTGGGCCTACCTTACAGGGGTGCTGCTACTGAAACGACAGGGATGAAGTGTTGGGAATATTTCGAGTGTGCTGAATATTTTTTAAAAGCATGAATGGCCTCCTTTTTCTCTGCCACAAGGCTTCAAATGCATAGGCTGTTTCCCACTGTACAATGGGCTTGAGTACCTGGGGGTAAGCACAATGGAACTCAGTGGTAGGCACGCACAGACATGGTTCATTGTGGCCATTATATAGGCCAAAGATGGGGAAGTTTGGGTCCACGGTTCAATCATTCCCCAATAGGGGGACTATTTTGGCCCATGAGGCCATTTCCCCCAAACCACAGCCCCCTGCTTATCAACTGATGTCACTCATGGTGTCTGCTGATGGGTGAGAGGAGAAGGGTTATTTCCAACATGGGCTGCGCACACCTGTTCATGTGCAGCCAAGGCAGCAGGATTTAACCCCCATTCATCAGCTGCTAAATGGGAGTTAGATCCTGCTCAATAAGACAGGGTTTTATGCAAACCCTTTCTAGATTCTAGGAGTAGCGTCCATGGTTCTCTGGCTCAGGCAAATGCTTCCCTTAAAAAAACAAACCCCACACATTTTGCACATTTTTCTCAAAAAGCTTTGAGAAAAGCTTTTGTCAAAATGCAAAAACACCAGATACACCCTGTTGGTTGATGCTTTCGTGAATTTTGACAGGCTGGTGAGGAATCTATTCCATCTGCTGTTACTGAACTGTCTGCTTTTCAGCATGGCAAATTTTGTCCACATATTTTAGAATCCTTTCCTTAATGATGCAGCCTGGGACAAGGACTGGCAGTCCCATGAATTTCCTCCATTTTCTAGAATGGTTTACACTGGGCAGTTTGCAGTCATCTGGCATGGAGGTAGATAAGTGCTTCTCATTTCACAGGGATGTCATCCTGTATAATTTATGATACTGCTCTAAGGCCACTGCCTCTTCCTTTGCCACCTCACTGGATGCAGATCTTCTGATTTATAACTGTGCTTGAAATCTTCCCCCTTGGAGTTCTCCAGCTCTCAGGTGCTCAGGGCTTTCTTGCTCCCTTAACTGGCTCCCTGACCACATTCTCTGATACTTGGCACATCCACCTAGAGCCAAGGGTCATTGACATTGTCTCAGTATGACATTATAATGTCATAATATGTATGAAAATTAATAAAGACAACCACATATTTTTTTAAAGTAGCCTATGCAATGCCTCTCATCTCTTCCATTTCTTTCTCAAAACCCACTTTTTCGGTGAAGCCTTTAGCTTAGGTGTGGGGAACCTTTGCCAGATGTTGCTGAACTACCAATCCCATCATCCTTTGCCATTGGCCATGCTTGCTGGGGCTGATGGGAGTTATTGTTCAGCAATGTCTGGAGGGGCAGAGGTTTCCCCACAGCAGCCTTTGTTTGTTAGGCCCCTCTCACTTCACCCACCCAACATAAATCAAATACAAGGGCCCTCAACTGCATAATGCATCTTCTCACATCCTCCCCTTTTATACCTTGCCTTTCTCTTCTCACCCCTTTACTGCCTCCTTCACTTAAGAGTTTTAGATTATAAACACCTCACGGCAAAAACTTAATCTTCTGTTACTCTGGAAGATTCTGTGTATACAGTGGTACCTCGGGTTACAGATGCTTCAGGTTACAGACGCTTCAGGTTACAGACTCCGCTAACCCAGAAATAGTACCTCGGTTTAAGAACTTTGCTTCAGGATGAGAACAGAAATCATGCAGCGGCAGCAGGAGGCCCCATTAGTTAAAGTGGTACCTCAGGTTAAGAACAGTTTCAGGTTAAGAACGGACCTCCAGAACGAATTAAGTTCTTAACCAGAGGTACCACTGTATTCTCATTATTGTGGTGGTTTGCAGAAGAATCTGTGACTTTCCAGATATTGTTGACTACAACTCCCATCATCTCTATTGACAATGCTGGTTGATGGGAGTTGGGAGTCCAATGACATATGGAGAGCCACAGGTTCTCCATTACTGGTGTGCCTAGATGTCACTATATATTTTACCATCCTCATCTGAATAAAAGTATTCCTGTAGGAATACCTCTGCAACACCTTCTGCAGAGAGGACAGTTGCAAAGGATGTGTTTGGTTTGCTAAATTCACTTGCTGGCAAGGTTTCGATGATAAGAGCTCCTTGCAGGGAGAGGCCATGTTTCATTTAATGTCTCAATTAATCACTTTCTTATTGTTTAACAAGAGAGGACTGAGGAAAATACTGGTCAAATCGATCATTTAATTTTCTGGATTGCAGTGGATATTTTTCTCCTGCTACACGCACATTCGAAAACAGACGTGGCCCTAAGTGCATCAATCAGGTAAGAAAGAACACGCCTGCTGGTGTCAGGACAGCGATAAATCACTCACTGGGAATTGCAGATGTGCTGGCTTTCTCTGCACATTTACCTTCAGCCTCTGACTCATACTCTGGCTGTCCAATCCCAAGACGATTCTTGTTGCCAACAGCGCAGCATCTGTTCTTGACGTTATAAGGTGACGCCACCTGTCTGACGCAGCTCCTTACTACCTGAACAAAAGGAAGACATCACCTGCCACAGCAGCCACACAGTGTCTGAGACAGAGCAGGTAACAGCGGGAATTGTTTCATAGGAAGAGTTGAGATTATAGGATACAGCACACAACCTTGTCCTTGAGGACCTTCTGAACTACAGACCACAGTCTGCACTACAATTGTTTTGTCAGGCTGCTAAACTGGAGATCTGACACAATTTCATCGAGCCTTAATTGTGCCTTAGCTTGGTTAATGATACAGAGCAAACAGTAATGATCTCACATGCAGATTCAGGTAGGTTGGTCTGACACAGTCTGACACAGTCAAAATTTATTTAAAAAATAGTCTGCACATGAAAGCTTATACCAAAAACAAACTTAGTTGGTCTCTAAGGTGCTACTGGACACTTTTTTTAAATTTTTGTATATATCTCACATGCAGAGTTATGCAAAGTAAGCTCCCTGACGTCACATCTTGTTTGTATTAGCTGATCAGCTGCTGTATGTTCTCTCTGCTTCATTACGCATCTGACACCATCTTGCAAAGCATTGCCTCCCCGCATAGCACCATGCCCACGTGTACAAACA